AGATGTGGCGTGCCGTGTAAGGCATTTTAGCCCACCAGGTTCCCCCCGCCCCCCTCCAACCCCTTCCCCCAAGCCAGACCCCCGCACACGGGCCACCCCCGGGGGGCTGGCATGTGACAGTGGTATGGAGTGCCACCTTCTCCACCGCCAGCACCGCGACAGGATCCGTTTGCAAAGCCTGTTTCTGAATTTAGGAAGGAGGAGGCTGGAGGGGGCTGGGACGTGAGCACAGTGGGGTCTCTCTCCCAGCAAATGGCCAAGAGTCAGCTGTGCTGGGAACGGGGGAGAGCGGGGCTCTCCACCCGAAGGCACATCTGGTGTGCATCTCCCCTTGCTCTCTGCCCGGCAGATACCTCGGGAGGTACAAAAATAAACACGCAGCCTTGTAAACGCGGAGATTTCTCGCCCTGTTTCCAAGCGCGGGACCACACAGGACAGCCCTGCTCCTCTCTCCGTGCAATAATCTCGTCGGATCTTACAACAACAGCATGGAGAGGGCTCCTGGCTCTCCCCCCCGGCGAAGCCCTGCAGGGTGATTGACACAGAGGGGCCTGGAGACAGCTCCCCCGGCTAATTAATGAGGTGACTCGGGACTGGAGATAAAGGGCTGCTAATGTCATCACTTCCCAGGTACCGATCCCTGCGCTGGGCCAGGAGCAGAGGCAGGAAAGGTCGAGTGATTAACAATTGCTCCCGCTCCCCAAGCATGTTCGCGCCGGGCCCGGTCAGCCGAGACGAGGGCAGCCCTGCTGCTGTCCCGGCCCGGGGCTGGGGACCATGCCCGGAGCGTGCGTCCCGCCGGGGATGGAGGCCTGGGAGGCAGCCACCTCCCCAGACCAACACGGCTACAACCTACACCTCCCCAGACCTGCACTCCAAGGGGGTTCGCTTTGTTGTTCAGCCCTGTGATCTGATCTCCCACATGGAAGCCTTTAGCGATTGTTTGTTAATGATCATGACAAAGGCATTATTCAAATTAGGCAGGTAATTACAACCAGAAGGAGCTTTTCTTTTTTGTTTTTTTTTCCTCTTCTGCTTCATTTTTTTTGTTTGTCCTAGAATGGGTCTCCCGTCACATCTGATCACGAAAGTACTCCATCAAAGGTCCCTTTACAGCGTCACTCGGCCTATCCGTGCACAAATCAAGGCAACGAAAGTGAAGCCAGCCTGCAAACCCACTCCACGCTCGCTCCTGGCAGCCCCTGACTGATACCCTAACACTTGTTTCAAAATTTGAAGCCTATTTGCATTTCAATCATCTTAAAGCACCTTTCGATTTCCTGAGAGCCTTGTCTCCTCATTCTCTCTCTCGTCACCACCACTTTAAACGATCAAACTTATGTATTTATTTACCTGTCAGGTAAAAAATTGCAAGATGAGTGCACCCTCCACTGCCCCTTACCCTTACTTCCAATCCATGGGAGCCTGTTATTTATTTACAAGCATTACGGTATCCTGTTAGCATTCCGAACAAGGGGCTGTTCATATATCTGCCTCCAATGATTTCCTGAAGGAACATGTGGAAGCAATAGTGAGGTTGTGCACTCACTCAAGCTGAAGATGTATTAAGGCTGCAGAAGGCTGCAGGCAATGTGAGCAACTGAGCCCAGGCAGGGGGGACCCTGCCAGCCCAGCCATGGGGACTCGGCTGGCCCATGCTTTCACTGCCTGCCTTTCACAGCCTTCCTCATTTCCCTTCGGGGGCATTTTAGCTTCAGAGACTAATTCTCCTTAGTCTAGGAGAGATGGAGCCTCTGGAGCCTGCTGCTTGACTTTGAGAACAAAGTTTTGCTTAGAAAGGAAGGGAAGGGGGGATGCACGCAGGCACTACGCGGGGGAAGGGGAAAGCAGGCAGAGGATGCAGACAAGAAGAGGGGGAACCACTGTAACCTCCTCTTCTTCGAGAACCCCCTTCCCAGCGCCCAGGCGCGTCCGGCCCGGTGCCTTACGCGTCCCGAGAGGGGCCCGTCGGATGCGTCTCAGCCTCCTTTCCTGAGGCTGCAGTGCCCCCTCTCCCACGGCCGCTGCAAAGACACCGCACGGAAAAGAGCCCGTCTCACTCCCCCCAGCACAGATACCCCTCGGCGCGCACCACCCCTCCCTGTCTCCAGCACGCAGCAACAATCAGCAAGGCAGAGATACTTGTATCTCCCGCCGGGTGATCAAAGCCCTGTCCAGAGAGCCGGATTCACAAGAACAATTCAAAATTGTGGAGACGTCGTCTAGACAGGGTACCCCGATCTCGTGCCGAGACCATCCCAAGCCTCCCGGTTGTCGGAAAGCAGAGGGCTTTTTGTTGTTGTTGGGTTTTTTTCCCTAGCGTTACCTTTCGCGGTTTCTTTCATTCATAACTATTGCTCACTCGGCTGCGGCTCAGTGCCTGCTGCTTCTGGCTAAGACGCTGCCATGCGGCTTTGTGCGCTGAGCCCTGAGCCCAGTCGGGTCGAAAAGACGGCGTGACATTCATTTCCAGCTCAGCTTTTCATCCCGAGACTTACATGGGGAGGATGGACACACGTCCGGGCATCTGGCACACCTTCCCCGAGTGCGTGGCCGAGGAGGAGAGCTCGTTCATGACACGGGGAACACTTGGGGCTTTAAAGAAACTTCGTTTCCCCCTCCCTGCAGTGCACAGCTCTCCTCGCCCCCTCCCCCCCATACACGCCCCCCTGCCATATGGCTAA